TACAACTCTTGACCGGTTTAGCAATCCGGTCAATACATCACTTGATTCTTTAAACGGTTTACACATTAACCGATCAAGGCACAAGCGGTTTAATAGTCCGGATTACAATCCGGACACCACTTGGCCGGTTTATTCAAAAATCATCATAAAATGCATTCAAACTCATAATAATCAATTCTAGATGCTTTTCAATCTGTATGAAAGCAATTCATATTCAAAGCTCTTAAATACACTCACCTTTTGAATTTGAGATTCAAAGCCTTTTGATTTCTTTTCTTCTTCCTAATGTGCAAACTTCAGAATCTTCAGAGAAAAACTTCTAAATATGGAAAGTGTGATATGTGTGTTTTTCCTTCTCAAATTTCTTTATATACATACACACCCATAAAGAGATTGAGAGGCGGCTAAAAGCCGTCCCCTCTCCCTTCTTTTCTTTCATTAAATATTTCCTCACACACACACCATTCATACATATATCATATATTTATATATTTATAAATAAATATATATATACATATATATATATATATATATATTTATAACTGAAATAATAACCAGACTATTACAATGTCCAAGGTTTTACATAAGGTATTTACGTTTACCATTGCTATTAGAACTGATTTGCTGTGAATTATATATCATAATGTACGGATACTATTTAAACCGGACAAGTGATGTCCGGGGTTCTATTTAAACCGGACAAGTGATGTCCAGGGTTCTATTTAAACCAGATAAGTGATGTCCGGGGTTCTATTTAAATCGAACAAGTGATGTCCGGGGTTTTACACCTAAACCAGCTAAGCTTTATGCGAATTAACCTAAACCGGCCAAGGCGTGTGCGATTTAACCTAAACCGGCCAAGGCACGTGCGATTTAACCAAAACCGACCAAGGCGCGTGCGATTTAACCTAAACCGGTCGAGGTATGTCTGATGTGACCATAATCCGTTCATGAGTCATCCGGGTTTATCTTTAAATCGCTCAACACATCAAGAGTTGTCCGGATTAGATCTCTGGACGAGGATGACCGGACTTCAAATCCGGATAAAGTTGTTTGGAATTTTATTATTGATTTTGGTTTAATTCTGAATAAAACTGCGAGAGAGATGAAATGGCGGTGTAACTATGAATGAGATGAAATGGCGGTATAACCGCAAGAGGAAAAAAATCTATATTAAGTCTGTATAGGTTTGATTCTAAACTGCTAGTTTGGAATGTATGTTATTGTATGAAATTTGTACACTCACTAGACCTTTTGGGTCTAATGCTTAGTTGTTGGACTAACCTGTTTTGCAGGTCATCATACCTCGTAGGATAAAGGAAAGGGGAAAGTGTAGAATTGATGACATTGAGTAACTCATAAATGTATTAAATAAAGTTTTAGTTAGTCCGTATTTTGTAAATAATATTACATTCTGTGTTATGAGTAATATCATGTGGTTTATCTATATGTGGAAATTGTGGGTTGTTACAGTTGTAACAATCCGCTAGGCCATTGATGTTCAATCTTCACTTTGTGGCAAGTAAGACATTTTGCCACGTATTCTGCTATATCTCGTTTCATAGCGTTCCACCAAATTATTGTTTTAGATCTTGGTACATCTTAGTGGATCCAGGATGAATCGAGAACAGTGAATTATAAGCTTCACTCATAACTGCTTCTGTGAGTTCACTATTGTTCGGGTACACAAAGTCGATTAGAGAACCAGATAATACATTTGGCATCAACTCGAAAATCAGGCTGTGAATCATCTTTAGCCTTTTGTAAGATAGCCCAAAGTTCTCCATCCTCTTGTTGAGCCTCTTCGATTTGAGATACAAGAGTTGGTTCAACCATGATACTAGCCAACACTTCATCTCTACCATGATAACACAAAGATATAACCATACGTTATAGATCTGAAGCAATATGCGACTGAACGGTTAAAGACGATATGTTACCAATGCTTTTACGGCTAAGGGTATCAGTGACAATATTAGCTTTCCCTGGATGAAATTGAACTTGGACGTCGTAGTCCTTAAGAAGTTCGAGCCACCGTCGTTGACGCATATTCAACTTTTTTTGTTTAAATATGTACTTTAAGGTTTTGTGATCGGTAAAAACATCACAAGTCTCTCCGTACAAATAGTGACGCCATATTTGGAGTGCAAAAATGACTCCTGCCGATTCAAGATCATGAGTAGGGTAGTTTACTTCATAAGGTTTAAACTAGGCGAGAGGCATACGCAATCAGTTTGTCGTGCTGCATTAGAACACAATCAAGACTACATTTAGAAGCATCACTATAAACCTGAAAACCTCCCGACGCAAATGGCAATGTAAGAACAGACGTTGTAACTAATATCTTTCTCAGTTTTTCAAAACCCTTTCCCTGTTCTTCCCCCCAAACAAACTTAAATTCTTTTCGAAGAAGTTTAGTCATAAGGAGCGCGATCCGGGAAAAGTTTTCAACAAACCGTTGATAGTAACCTGCCAGACCTAGGAAACTTCGGACTTTAGAAACATTTGTTGGTTTTGGCCAGTTAGTGATAGCCTCAACCTCTGCAAAATCAACTTTAATGCCTTCGCCGGACATAATGTGACCCAAAAATGCCACTTGATGCAACCAGAATTCACATTTAGAAAACTTTGCATACAACTTCTTATTTTGAAGAGCTTTTTAAAGTAATACGCAAGTGAGTTTCGTGATCTTCTTTCGACTTTGAATATATAAGAATATCGTCAATAAAAACGATAACAAAGTCGTCCAAATAATCTTTGAAAGCCCGGTTCATATGATCCATAAACACTGTTGGAGCATTAGTTAACCCGAATGGCATAACAATGAATTCATAATGACCATATCGAGTACGAAATGCAGTCTTAGGAATATCTTGATCTCTAATCCGGAGTTGGTGATATCTAAACCTTAAGTCGATCTTAGAAAAATACTTTGCTCGTTGGAGTTGATCGAAAAGATCGTCTATAAGGGTAAAGGGTATTTATTACGTACCGTGATCTGATTTAGTTCATGATAGTCAACACACAACCGCATCGATTAGTCTTTCTTTTTAACGAATAGGACTGGTGCACCCCATGGATATGCACTAGATCGAATAAAACCACGATTAAAAAGATCTTCATGTTGTTCCTTAATTTCTTTCATTTCGGTTGAAGCCATACGATACGGAGCCTTTGAGATAGGGGTAGCTCCCAGAACAAGATCAATTGTAAATTCAATTTTCCTTTCCGGAGGAACTCCTGGAAGTTCATCTGGAAATACATCTTGAAATTGATTAACAACAGGAATATCTTCAAGTTTAAGGCATTGCTCTTCGGGATCTTGTAGTGAAGCTATAAACCCTTCACATCCTTGTCATACAATTGCTTTAACATTTACTTATGAGATAACACGAGTCCCCTTCTTTGGTGAAACACCCTGGAATACATATTCGGGTTCATTGACGTCATCGAAGACGATTTGTTTCGATTTACAGTTGATTGTCACTCAATTTTAGACAACCAATCCATGCTAAGGATGATATCAAAGTGATCCATTTTATGTGGAAGTAAAGTAACCTCCCCAATTCGATCACCAATAAATAACAGACAATTTGGAAATTGACCAAGTATACATACTAGATTCCAAATAGTTAACATGTATAAGGCTTAGGATAGTCCAATTTTAGCTCTACCCAATCCTCATAGATCAAACTTAAATTGTACTATAGGATCATAACCTATAGCTCTGATACCACAACTTGTAATACCCCGTCCCGCATGGCTAAAGATAGAAGATGCCACAATTGGTTTAAAAAAAGTTTAACGCATTATATAAAACATAGCAGCTAATAAAATTTATCAAAAGATAACTACATAACCAGAAACAGAGATAACATGTCTCAAAATACGGTCCGAAAATACCAGAATATCTACATTAATCATCAAAAGTTAACAAAAGTATGACGTAATGGGTTATCTTCAATATTTTCATCTCCGTAGCTCTCACCCCAAAATCCCTGATAAGTCATGTACTTGCCGAGGACAAGAAAATCTCGGTTGAGCTTAATGCTCAGTGAACGGATAATAATAACTAAACAATGAATATGAGATAACAAGTTCAAAAATAATTTATAACGTTAAGTGATAATCCAAAAGAAAGTCACAATGCCCCGAAAGCATGTCAAGGGTCCGAAGACCAAACCGCATTATGAGGACGCGTTGTTCCCAATGGATGATCAGTTTGTTCAGGCATAAGTGAGGAAAGGGGTGCGAGCACAACACAACACAACAATCCCCTCTGTGGATTTAACCATGGTCACAATTTATTATCCAATAACGGTTCCTAGGATCGATCCATACGCCCTCTATTCGACCGGTACATAATCAAGTCCACCTTTAAGGACTATAAAAATGAGGACGCCATGATCATTTTAGCCAGCAAGGAAACATCTCAATACCGGTGCTCCAGTTATTGAATCTATAGTAAAATGTTTCACATATGAAGCAATCAAACAAGTGAAGTGATCAAAATGATCCATGTTCCAAATAAGAATGTACATCATATTTCGAAAGGAACCAAAAGCTCAAAAGCAATTGACGAGCATAATGATAATTTGGAACCAATATAATTAGGAAGCCCTATACAAATAGCTATGCCCATGTCAAGTGAGATATGAAATCCATACCTTAACCGCATTTGACAATTAACGCACGATCAAACGGAAATTCACGATCAAGTTGGATTTGCCCGCATGCCTAACCAATGCATAAATGGGTTACTATTTACAAAGCATAAAAAACAAAAAGTAATTATTCTAATAAATTTACTTAGGTCTTAATGTACTTAAGCAACATAGATTTCAAGAAGGACAACCGAATACGAATTGAAACTCCTTGTAGATGTCAAGAAGGACCTCTTCCGTTCCACTTATTTCTAAGCATTTTTACCCTACTTAGAGACCAATCCACATTATATTGTCTGAATGAAAGTTGTAGGTTGGTATCATATGACTATATTGTTTTTGAAATCATTTCATTTGGATCATCCGTCTATTTTATATAAATTTTACATAATTGCAAATTAATCTCGAATACAGTGTAAAAAGCCCTGAAAACACAATGTTTCGAGCCACTTGGAATCATAACTAGATTTTCGACACTTCATGAAAGTTGTAGTATAGAGTAAGATCTTTCTAACTGCAAAATACGAGCTTATTATGACATACGGTTTCTAAGTTATACACAGTCAAAGTACGAGAGTTGTATTGTCGGGAAAATTCGATTCCACAATTCCCGACTAACTTTTATGATCCAACTTCCATGATTCGCTACGTTTACATGATATAAACATACTAAACATTAAAACAAGTCCAATGATTGCTAACCTAATCTTAATCATGCATTTTTACTCTTTTCGACATTTAACCGAACAATTGGTGTGCGGTTAAACATATACCCACAATCTAACCATATTGAAACTATATGTTGGGACTTCCGCCTCATCGTTCCCTCGAGCCGGTCAAATCCGTGATTCTTAAACCCAAMGCKCCTGTAGCAATGCAGGAGCATCCCACATTGGTGAGGCTAGGGGGATTCGTCTTCCTTATAAAAAAAGGGGGGATCTTACTCCTACCAATGACGCATTTTAAAGCCGTGAAGGGTTGTTGCCGGGAGGGGCAGCCCAAAGCGGACAATATCATGTGGGCGGTTTCCTAGTATCGGTCCAACACTATAATATACCCTTTTTATTTCCACATCAATTTAACCAATCCTAGAATTCTAAGCATCAAATATATCACAATTTTAACAATATCAATCCGTAAACTTAGACATAAACATAATTTATAAACCGGTCTCAAGAAGCCTAACATAAACACCCTAATAAAAATGAAAGAAATTTATACCTTTATGAAGAGTTTAGAGAGTGGATTCCGAATATATATTTGTTACCTCGATTCCCTTAGTAACCTGACATGAAATTTAGAGAGAGAGAGAGAGAGAGAGAAAAAAAGCAGAGAAAAGAGAGAAACTGAGATTTAAAACGGTGAAACCGTCATGCACACATGTATCATGTATATATATATATATAAAAATATATATATTTCTTTTATTTAATTATATATATATATATACATATATATATATATATATAATTAAATAAAAGAAATATATATATATATATATATATATATAAAGTTTAACAATTTGGCGAATTTAACCTTTCAAGTCTATAATCTCAACTTTATGCCAAAATAGGTATAAACTCAACTTTTGACAAAAAAAAAAAAACTAGTCCAAGGTACAAGTTCGTATAACATAGGGTACAAATATGTTATGCACAATTCTACCAAAAATTCACTTAACCCAATTTGTAAGAGTTAACGGAACATGGGTATTATACGCCAGCCATGGATGAAGAGTACAACATGGCTGAAGACGTCAAGTTACTCCTCCGTGATGTGGAGACTGTCCTTATCAAAATGGACGAAGTCCATAAGGGCATGCCCCTTAGGGATGAAGTCTCTGCTGACCTTTCAGCCGTCCTGGATGAAGTGAAAGAGGTCAAGGACCAGCTTTCTTCTATGCAAGCGGTTGTGCAAGCCACAACCCTGAGGCCATCTCAACTTTAACAAGCAAGGCTGATGAAGCGAATTCTTATCTTGCAAAGCATATCGAGCTGATGCAGCATATATGGGAAACTCTCCAACAACCAATACTAGCTCTGAAATCGTCCTTCACCGCTGAAGATCACGATCAGTTAGATCAAACACGGGAGGCTACTATTCTTCTAGCCCGTGCTATGACCAATCTTGAAGAAATGATGGTGCTTCAGATAAGAACTATGGATCACTTCTTTGCCTATTGTTCCAATGCCATAGCCAATAAGGGGAAGACAGAGTTGAATGATGGAGGTGATTCTGCTGCTGAAACTTCTAGTGCTACTATCCCAGCGACTCGTACTGAAGTTGAAGCTCCTTGAGCGACAGCTAATGAAGTTGAGGTTTCTGATTAAAATTCAACTTCTTGTGAAGCTCCTGATGTTGAGGATGTTGATGCCGTCCGAACTGGAGCTGAAGCTCATGACGAAGACCTTCCTATCACCTCTGCAGCTAATGCTTGTAATATGGAAGATGATGAATATGAAGACGGTGATTCTCCCGACCTTCCTGACGCTAGTGAAGATCTTGGTGACAATGATGATGAAGACGATTGTCACACCCCGCTAAAGCGGAAACGTGAGGTATAGCAGGTAGAGTCTCATAGCAATAGTGTATAAACAACACAACCATACAATTTAAAACATAGTTACATCAAAACTAAAGTTTACAGTCCCAAATACAAGTTTACAACACTAAACATAAAAGAAGTTTTGGAATTGCTAAATGTGACACGCCTTCAAACAAATGTCACCGAAAATCTTTCTT